GGTCAGAGCAATCCCAGGCACAGCTACAGGTTGGGCAGAGAAGAGATTCAGAGCAGCCCTGCAGAGAAGGACTTGGGGGTGTTGGTTGATGAGAAAATGAACATGAGCCGGCTTCAGTGTGCGCTCACAGCCCAGAAAGCCAACTGTATCCTGGGCTGCATCAAAAGGAGCGTGACCAGCAGGTCAAAGGAGGTGATCCTGCCCCTCTACTCTGCTCTTGTGAGACCTCACCTGGAGTATTGTGTGCAGTTCTGGTGTCCTCAACATAAAAAGGACATGGAACTGTTGGAACAAGTCCAGAGGAGGGCCACGAGGATGATCAGGGGGCTGGAGCACCTCCCATATGAAAACAGGCTGAGGAAGTTGGGGCTGCTCAGCCTGGAGAAGAGAAGGCTGCATGGAGACCTCATAGCAGCCTTCCAGTATCTGAAGGGGGCCTACAGGGATGCTGGAGAGGGACTCTTCATTAGGGACTGTAGTGATAGGACAAGGGGTAACGCGTTCAAACTTAAACAGGGGAAGTTTAGATGGGATATAAGGAGGAAGTTCTTTACTGTAAGGGTGGTGAGGCACTGGAATGGGTTGCCCAGGGAGGTTGTGAATGCTCCATCCCTGGCAGTGTTCAAGACCAGGTTGGATGAAACCTTGGGTGATATGGTTTAGTGTGAGGTGTCCCTGCCCATGGCAGAGGGTTGGAACTAGATGATCTTAAGGTCCTTTCCAACCCTAACTACTCTATGATTCTATGATTCTACTTCTGGAACCCAGGTGAGCCTGTTCAGTGCTCGATCTCTCTCTTACGCAGTGCACCCTGTTGTACAGATCGTGGTGTGGTTGTTCCAGATTGGAAGATTTATAATTCAGCAACTATCCAGATTCTGAGAAACACACCAAAAACCACAGCTAAGGGAAATATGACAGGTGAAGCAAGCATGGTGGCACTGAGGAGGAAGGAAATCTCCCTGCAATGCACTGATAAGAATGTGCTAGATATAAACTGTGTTCAATCTGGACAATCTGCAACTGGGAAAACACATGCTTGCTGAAGGAAATTCAGCTTGGAGGCCCTAGGGACTGGATCAGTCTTTTAAAATGCTTTGTTGGTTTTATTTATCACTACTTAATTAGGATGCCTAACCAACACATCAGAAAGATAGTAACTGTTAAATATTCAACAAGCTGACCCTTCAGTTACAGTATGACAATGCTGAATAAAGTTCATGGAAAGCTTGTTCTTCCTAAGGACTCCAACAAAGCCAAGGGGAACTGACTGGGCCAAAAAGAAAAAGAAGAGTTAAAAAATAAAAGTAGGGCACTGTTGTGGAGACCTGGTTAAAAATCCAAGTCTTGCCATGCATGCATTGAATGATCCTGGGCAAGTTGTTTCCTGCCCTTGTGCTTCATCTTTTCCCATCTGTAAAAAGAGTACAACGATGTTGCCCTTCCTTGTAAATTGCTGAGATGAATGGCTAGAAAAGCAGTAATACATTATTAATTAGTTATTATTATTTCTGAGGATGAAAAAGCAAAGAGAAGAAGCCTCCACGAATCTTTCAGGGTTTTCTTGACCCTCACGAAAAATAGCACCATGTAACGCGGATTTCACACAACAGAACATTTTGGTGAGCTGCCTTTAAGAAGAAATAGTGGGTACACAATTAGAAGAAAGTTAAAAGCAGGCAGACACTCAGGAAAATGCTCCAGATGGTAGAACGAGTTAGGCTGCAGAGCAGGCTCCCACAGGAAGTGGTGAAACCCCCATTGTTTGAGACATTTGAAACGGAATTCTTCAAAGTGCAGGTATATATAATACAAGGAACCGCTGTGTGCTGCCTCGAAAGGCACTGGTGCTGGGAGGACCTGTGAGAGCCACACCTGCCAGTTCTACAATTTTAAGATGATTCTTGCTGCTCTGACTCTGAAGAACTGTAGACTCTTTTTATCAATATAGCATCTGAGAAACATCTGCCGGGGAGCAACTACATTGTGTTTTTGTAGGAGATAGACTCAGCAACCCTTAACAGATCTTTCTCATTCTTACTTCTGAACTTGGTACGTCCAAGAGGGGAAAAAAGGCCCCTTTTCTCTGCTTAAGAATTATAGTGTGCATTCTACAGACAGACTGTTTATTTCCTGTAATACAATCTAATGAAAAACTGGGTGGCTTGATTTTTACAAGCAATGGTTTGCAGAAGAAATACCATGATTTTAATGGGAACCAAATGAGTGGTCATTATGTAAACAGAATTATGAGACACAGAACTGACGTTGAAATGTTAAATGCTCTGGGTCAAACTCACCAAAATGGGAACTGGCAGCAGCATGCTGGAACATTGGGGTTTCTCCACACTCAAATACTACTGCAAACATTTTCTGGCACTGCTAATGCTGGTTTAGCTTCTCTGGAGGTAGCTGTGGAGGGAGTCTGACTGCTTCTGTTGTTACTGGCATCTAAAATCTTAAGACCTTCTCTGAAACCCAAATTTAGAGCTTTGGGCCATTTTATTGATACAACCTGGTTTACTGGTTGGAGCAGGTAGAGAAAGAAAAGGTTTTAAAAGGAGCTTAGAATCAGAGTTTCAATACCTTCATTTCCTCTTGGTTGCATAGCTGCTGATATACTAAAAAAAATGTGAATTGTTTCAAATGGCGTATGTGCACTAGTGACCCTGTCTTATTTATTCACTTGGCCATAGGGTGCTCCTGTCCTGATCCCCTCTGGCAGGAGCACTGAGGCCAGGAGCGGTGAGGCTGTGCACCCCAGCAGCCTCATCTGCTGCCTCTGCACAGGCTGGCAGTGCCTGCACACTGCCCCCGTCCCTGACCAGCCACACAGCAATTTCCTCAGGAATGAATCATGAACAAAAAACCAAACAAGAGCTATTTAAGAAGTTTTCTTCTCCTTCCCTGCAACTGTCCTGTCCAGTATCATATTCCTGACAGTTTATTCTTCAAGAATTTAGTCATCTAAGGTTTCAGTGACTCATGTGATGAACCTTCTACCCATTTCCTGGAAAGAGTCCTGCACGGTCCTCTACACCTCCCTGCCATTTTCCTCGAGGGTCTCATTTTTGCTACATTTTCATATCATTCAGATTTCCTCCATTTTTGGGGTGGAGGCAGGAGGCAAAAATATCTTGAGTGCACCCACATTTGCAGTGTAACAACTGGAAAGCAGCGTGGCAAAAGAAACATCTGGAAAACAAAGATGGGCACTGAACCAGACAGAGAGTCTTTTCTGGAAGTAGCTGCCTCTTGGGCTGAACGCTGGTTAGAAGAAAAGCCGCTGCTGTAGGAAGAGCTGCGTGGTACAATATAGTAATGAATTTACTAGGCTGTACCCTGTAAAATGAAAATGAAAAAGAGTTGAGAGCTTTCTCAGATGACTGCCTGGGTGGGTGTGACTCACCCTGGGCAAATGCCACTGCTGACAAGTACCCTGACACAAACTATTGAATGAATTGGGCTGGATGTGACCCAAAATAACCATTTTACATACTTGGGCCAATCTGAAAGACACTTCTATGCAGAAAACAACTGCTCCCTTTTCCTGATTAAAAAGAAAGTTCAAACGCTGCTCACAGGCAGCTTGAAGGATACCTCAGCAAACTCTGATCTAAGTGGGGTTGTGCTATGCCTACAGCAGACAGTTGCCTGGACATCAGCAGTGCCCAGACCATACTGAAGCACTACCTGTGCATATTTATGTTACAGTTAAAATGGGGGCTGTCTAGTGTTATTCTTCAAATACGTAGAAATGTTTGTGAGTGTGAGCCCATCAACATAATTGCAGGAGTGTGAAACAGCTTAGCAACAGTGCCAGTGAATGCTTATAGACCTGTGCCTCCCATGCCTAAGTCAGCAGACTAAGCATCCTGGCTTATGCTAACTTTCAGTAGGCCTAGTTAAGGAATTTGCAGATCTGTCTTCTGGAGACAGGGCCGACATATCCAGCATTCTTAGAGGATGATTTCAGTGCTCAGTTATACCAGTATAACTGTCATGTACCCTGTTACAACACTCACACACATGCACGCATACACATATACATGTCAGTATATCTATACGGACATGCACCACAACCCTGTTCCCTTTAAAGGGATATGGTGTCAGGTCAAAGTTGACCAAACATTCTTCCTATTAAAAACAAAAAACAAAAAAACCCCAACTTCTACAAACCCTGATTCCAACAGAAAAGTTTCCAGGATTTATTTTAAGAAGGGAACATTCCCCTGCAGTGCTCACCGCAACCCAAACATTGCAGCCCTGTGCAAAAGCATGAGAATCGGGGAGGAAACCGAAGAATCTATTTTCACTGCTCCAGAGGAGAAATAAAAAAGTAAACAAACAGCAAAAGCAGTGACAAATAAGTTTTATTTTAGTGGTGGCTGCAGTGTTATCTATAGTACGGCTAAGGAGAGGAGACTTAAAGTATGCATGCTTTTCTAGTGATTTCTACAAGACGTGTAACTAAGTGTGAGATAGGGACTCTTGGGAGCCATCTACACTTCAAGGAAAAGATTTAATTTTCTTTGGTTGATCCTTCCTGCTCCTCACACCTTGACATTCACATTTGAGAAACGGAACCACAAATTAGAACAAATTGCCTCGCTGTTCTCAAAGCCTGAAAAATAATCCGAAGCTTGGGCAAGCTATTCAAGGAACAAATTCCTTGTTTGTGGGAGAACTCTTAAGAGCTTGAAAGTAAAGGGAAGAGTCTTTTCTCTAAATACCTGGAGCCCTCTATTCTACAGAAAGGGGAATGTGCCATCAGTACTACTGTTTATTGTCAAAATTTGCTAAAAGCAGCAAGTATCAGAAGCTAAAAAAGGGCATATGGAGACATAAAGAATAATGAGGAAGCACATACTTTCCCGCTGCAACTACTGACTGCATGCACACACAACAGGTCCTTGGGCTGAAATGTCTGTGTACTGAAGAGAGAGGAAAAGAAGTCAGTGAAGCCTGCCCAAAAGGGACTGTAAGACTGATCCTGTGGCAGATCACTGATTTCACCAGAAAGTTTTTGGAAGCCATAAACAGGAAATGGTTAAGTAAAAGCAGGTGGAGCATGCTGACTGCAGGAACAACGCAGGAAATAGCTGAGCGTCTGAATGGATGCAAAAAAAATGCTCTTCTGCTCCGTCCTTGGCAATCACAATACATTTACTCCTCCTCCTCCTCGTCCTCCTTCACTACCCTTATCTCCCCAAGCTACAAAGTCTCGCAGTCTGCAAACACCTTTTGTTTGTGTAATCTGCTCTCCTTGAACCAGCAGGGGAGAGCTGGCACGTTCTGCTTGGGAGGCAACGGACAAGAGGGATTCACCTCCTGTGCAAAGGATGAGTCAGAAACACCCAGCAATAACCACTGCCTGTCAGGGGCTCTAGGTCTGAGAAGCAGGAACAGCATTGCTCACTACTTCCTCAGGTGGTGCAGTCCCAAGTGTATTTAGCAAAAGTCAGAAAAACATTATTCCTATTGCCCCTTTCATTCTAGAGGGCTCCCAAAGCACTTAGTCGTAGGAATCATTCTCCATCTCTACTGAAACACAGTCCCTTCTGGGGCAGAGCACTGCAGCTGTTTAACAGCTCATAGCAACATCACACAAGCAGATGGAAAAGAAAGCGAAATGTGTAAGAAGTGTTCTTTCCACTTTCCTTATAACCCTTCCTTTCTCTCCTCTTTGTCCGCAGCAATTTGTGCCAATTCCAGACAACTCCAGATGTGTGTCTTTCCCACCAGTATCTGCAGAGACTTGGCTCTGGAGACTGGGATCTGCTTGCCAACATACTGCCTCTGGGTGCATTCAGTCCCAAGGGTCGAGTTTCCACTGCCACACTCATCCCTGGCTGTGCTGCCAGACATGCTGCAGGATGGAGGGCAGACGTACTGGTAAGGAACAATTCTGCTTTCTTCTAGATGAGTATAGTGTTGATGTAAAATCATTTAACATAGACAAGACACTCTTGCCTTAAAGTATATGAAACAGTCACATTAAAGTCCTGAGGAAAGTTAAGAAAGGAACACATAGATTAGTTTGAATTATTTTGACTTTGCCTACATTTTAAGTATTAGATGGTGAAGCTGTGTTGGCAAACTCTACTCTTAGGTATTTCTCTTCCTCTCCTAGATTTAAGTAATAAAAAAAAAACACACACAAAAAAAAAATCCCAAACAAACCCAACCCTTTTTTTTTTCTTATATTCTGATAAGAGAAAACGCTAATGGCAAACGGGCTTCTATGGAGTTACAACTGCACAAACAAAAAGGTTTTTTTTCTGGTAGAGAAATTTTGCAAAGAAATCTTCCTCTTTTTTCCACATTGTTACTTTGGCAAAACCACCAGGTGTTACTGGGAGTTCAAACTTACACTGCCTTTTCTACATCTTTTAAAGCAGAGAGTTAGTATATGCAACCTAACACATTTAAAGTTCAAACTCTTAAATCCTGGTCTACACAGGGCCTTTGGAAGTAAGGTTCAAACTCACCCTGCCCAATCTCCAATATTCCACACTTTTGCCCAGACCATACCTTCCCAGGGGTGTCCTGAGAACAGTCGTGACTGGAGTCCCCCACCCCACACCGCTGCTCCCATGGGAGGAGGGAGAGGGCATAGCCAGAGTACAGGTTGGTTTGGCATCTTCTGCAAGCACCACCACACTCATCTAAGATGCCATGGGGCATAAGTGAACAGAGAGGATGTATCCTATCAGCTTCAGGTGAATGGCAGAACAGCTTCAGGGAGTTAAACCTTGTCACTGACCTTTAGGAAAAAAGATAGTGTGCAATTCATATGAATCTAAGAAACTGAGAGAAAATAATCAGAATGAGCTGAGCAAAAATAAACAGGTGTCTTTTTCCTGCTCTTTTCACAGTTTCTGCTTCCTAGTACCCTCACCCACAACCCACTTTTTTTTTTTTTGCACTTAAGTTGTTGAGAAAAATGGCAGGAATGAGGTTCCTGGTAATAATTACAGTTTGCTGAGAAAATCACAGCCTGCAGCAGTAATTCCTTTAGTGCTAGAGACAGATGCTGCTGAGGTCTAATCACAGTCTTCCCACTAACCAGGCCCTGAGTTTAATCTGTCATCAGCTGAGAGGCCACTGGCTCCCACCGCACGTGTGAACCCAAGCTGCTTGGCTTGTTCCTCTCCCCTCATCCAGAGCCAGGCAGTGCCAGAGGGAGGGTATGTTTCCATGCACTCCTTGCCCTCAGCTACAGCGATACTACAACTTCAATGTGCTGCTTATCTCCCCTCCATGCCTAGGATCAGGGCCACTCAAAGCCTCTCTGGAAAGGGCTCAAGTGGTTGTTTTCAACTTACAATGCCGCATAGTGACTGCAGTTCAAAAATACAATTTAAACTGATTTAAGTTGAAGGAGAGGCTTAATGAGAATGGCCTGTAGCTAATTCCTCCTTCCAGAACGTATGGTATTTTCTACTTATTAAGAGGACAAAGCTGCACTCAGTGAGGGATCATATAACATCCATATGTTAACAACAATGACAAAACCCAAGAGTATGAGTGCGGATGAGCACAGAAGTAGGAGGAAGATGGAATAGCAGAACTGGGTATATTAAAAAAAGAGCTGGGAGAAAACACACATGTAAGGAGAGACTGAACAAATCTACATGTTACAGCTGCCATTGCCATCGAATGTTTTGTATCTGACATTCAAAGAGCATAAGGCCATCTTTGAACTCTGTGCCGGTGAAAGAAGCTCAAAAAACATCCGACCTCACTGGCTCAGCAAAGCCCCTGTGCATGCAAAAGTCACCATGCTACTGGATTAACATCTTTAGATTGGATTATGGTAATAGCAGGAAACTGGCTGAAGAAGTTTATTTCAAAGGCATGTTACTGTAGCATGAGTGACCCGGTGAGAATTGGGAAAGTCCTTAAGTTGGTACCCACTTTACACCATTTGTAGAGTTAACAGGTGCCCTGAACTAGGAGGGGAGATGCTAGGCTTGGAAGAGTAGACTAAACAGCTGTGTTTTGCATAAGTAGCTCTTAAGAAAAGCGTAAGGGAACAGAGTAGGTCATCATTTTTGGTCAGAGGCAAAAGCATATTAAACTAGATGACTTTCTGTAGAAGCCTGTGGCCAACTCAATTTCTTTATGTTCAGCTTTTTCCAAATCTGCAAATGGCAGTGGGGCACACATGATAATACTCACCAGATCTTTGCAGTAAAGGTGTGCACAGCAGCTTCTCAGCCACTGACAGACTGAGGGGAACAGAAAGTATAGTACAGTGTCTCAGTGAGAGGGAAGGAGTGACTCATACAGGAAGAAAAACAAAGCAAAGATGAACTTTGAGCATAAGAGAAGAGGCAGACTGCTGGCTGTAAATCAGTTTTCTTGCACTCAGAAGGGTAGGTATTATGGTGAGAGGAGTTGTACTTGACAGTAATGGAAGTCCAAGGAAGTTTGATTAAGATTAAGTAGCAGCCACAGGCCAACACAGAAAAGAGGCTTTAAGGCAAAAATCAAAGACAGGAAATGACTAAGTAGGTCAGAAGCTGTGGGTAGTGAGCTGGACAGATTAAATGGGACTTGGAGCAAGTAAGTTAGCTCTGCTAATGACAAGTGATAACACAGTGTCACCAAGTTTAAAAAATCTGACTCTGAAATCATTTTCAAGGCTTTGCTAGCAAATCAGAGATTGCTGAGTTCTAACAGCATCTACACCAGAACAGATACTGTATGCTTTAACTGAAGATTGGGTTTACAGCCACTTTTTGACCCTGCCAAGCTTCCTATAAATAGTGTGCTGTTTTGTCTGAGCAGGATTTCTTTTTAAAGAGCCAGGAAAAATGAACTGACTAATAGAAACTGTGAGACTCTAAGAAGGGCCACTGCTGCAGGTTGAAAAGACAGATGCTATGGAGAAACTTCTTTCCACTCCTAAATTCAATAAGTCTTTGATTCAACAGCTTTGTTCACATCCAGGGCAGCCGGAAGAGAACAGTCACCTTGTATTTTTGTACCTGATGAGAAAACCCCAGATTGTATGTGTGCACTGGGACAGTTCAATGTGTGTCTACTGCAACTTCAAAGAGGCTTACAATGCTCTTTCAGATGCAGGGTGTGAGGAAGGGTGAGAACTGCTAAGGCTAGCTCCATCCTCATTAAATCTTTGCCCTCCCTGGAGCAAGCATGCAAGTGGAGAGAATAGAAGATATGCATGAGCAACTGAGCATCTGTGATCTCATGACCTTTGACTGTTGTATTATGGGAAATGTATTCTCTGGTTGCTATGCTTTTCTAATTCATTTGTATTTTCCTTCAGTGACTCCCTTGTATTTTCTATGGTGCTCCTGTGTAATGGTTTCAAGGAACCACAGATATCTCCAAGTTAAGCATGCATACAATAGCTATAATTAAATGTTTGTGAGTATCCCACAGTAATGCAAGGGAAAGGGAAAGCAAACAATTTTGTACTCACTTGTACCTATCCTTTCTGAGCCCTGTCCTGGGTGGAGGCATCTCCACCACTGCCCTTTAAGTCCATTTCTAACCCTTTGTGAATGAAGGCCATTGGGTTCTGCTGCCCTGCATGTAAGCTCTTCAGGTATTTCACTCCCATTAAAAAAAGCTACAGATCACCTGTGAGAGGTAACTCTGAAACCTTATAGGCTAGGCTAGAAGAAATAACAAATCAATTAGGGTAGACATTTTTTACTCCACTTTGAAAAATGGAAAATAAGGTTAAGGTTAAAAATACTCTCAACCATTTCTTAAAATACATTGAGATGCTACAGGGAGAACAGCACAAAAGCGAAGTTTTGATCTTCACTATTCTGAAGTTAATCTTTTCTGTTCTCTGTGCCATTGGCACAATCTCAGTCTTGGTGCTACCTATTTATTACTTTTAAAAATGGGGATCTTTGCTTCTTTTACAAGTAGTTAAGTACACCATTTAAATGTAAAGAAGAAACCTGAAGAAGATTTTTGTTTTCATTTCAGACATTTAAAATACATGAGGGAAATGAAATTTGGAAGGGGAACTTTCATCATGCAAAGACGGAGGAATAAGAAACAGGATGCAAAGGTCATCAGTTCTTTAAGTCAAACACAAGACAGCACAGAAAATAGTTTATTTAGAGGAAGAATCTTCCTCTTTCTTGTATGACATGGCAGAGTTAGCAGTATCTGCAAGGATAACCATAAGGCCTAATAGTTGCCAATCCTTCCAATACTTCCCAGTGACTCCCAGAGATAACATACATCAGAAAAGAATAACTGTAGGACTGGAAAGAAAAAATGAAGGCCAGTTTGATGAAAGAATAAAGAAACCATGCTTCTAACTTTGATCTTGGCTATTTCCCTGTGCTGAGACCAGAAGGATTGCCAGTTTTCAGTCTTACATGCTGGATTTGGGCAGAGGTTGCGCTGAGCAGGGGTCTCGCTTTGCTGGAGCTTGAGCTCCAGTGACTTTCAGGAGGGAACAGAAAGCATGGGTTGTTTCCCTCACATAGCTAGGCACAAACGACAGCAGGGTTGTCTGAAAAGACTGAGAACTGCTGATACTAGTAACAGGAAATGGCAGCTGTGAAGGAGAGTAGGAGTGGGATGAAAAGCAGCCTTACAAAGCGAAGGAGGAAAGGACAAGGCCGTGGAAGATCTAAAATTGGGAGCAGCTAACATGCTGACAGAGACTTCTTCTTTCCTCAAGGGCCTGATCCTGACCACATCTGGGCCAACATAAAACCTCCTACAGGGATTTTTGAGATACTTGTAATGAGTACTACTTGTCCCTCTCTTAATCTGCTGTCTGCATTTCCACTACATCTTCACATGATGGTTCTTAAAAATACACCTCGTTTTGGTGACGGCTGAGAGTCACAGAGGTGTGTAAAGAAGAGCTTGCATCTACATTTCACCCT